TCCTGTCAAACTCAGGGCCCCATGGTCCCAGGCCTGACCCCAGGACCCCCAGCCCCAGAGCCCTGTGACCAGCAGGACAGGCTCCCTTCCACCAGTGCGTCTGGATAGGCAATCTCTTGTAGCTGCCACGGGGACTCACTGGCCCAGGTCTCCGCTGGAGCACTGTGGGGGCTGTAACCTTGTATGCACCTCTTTGGGTCCCCAGGGGGCATCCCCGGCCACTCATACCCACGGGTCCCCCATAAATCCCCTGGCGGTGCCTATGGCTGGGGTGTTCCAAAGTTACAGCTCCAGGGACTTCCCCAGTGATCTAGTGGTTAATTCACCTTGCAATGCAGGGTATGCGGGTCTGAGCCGCGGTGGAGGAGCTAAGATCCCGCATGCCGCAGAGCAACTAAGCCTGCAAGCCACAACTAGAGAAAGCCCGCATGCCATACTGAAGACCCAGCATAGTCAAAAAAAAAAACATTATAAAAAAACAAATCAATAGCTCCTGTAGGGAACCCAGCATGTCACCTCCCTCCCCACCCACCACTTACCCCCCCACCTGCCCCCTCCTTCTGCCCTCCAAGGCCTGGGCCTCTCTCTCCAGCCCCCCTCCGCCCGCAAGGCCACCAGTGGGATCCGCCCAGGAACTGGCGCTCAAGGCCCCGGGGGCCGGCCCGGTGCCGCTGTGTTCTGAACCTTTCTTATCAAGTACATCTTAAGCAAACTGCAGAGCCCACGCAACGCTGCTCATGGACAAACAGCGGTGCATGCAGAAACAAGGTCCCACCCCCAGGTCCCATCCCTCTGGGGCCTGGGATGGGCAGGGAGTCTCAGAGGACGCTGGCCCAAGAAGCTGGGCGGAGGATGGTGGGGGCTGCCTTTTCCAGCTGTTGGGGTCCCTGGTGAGATGCCCTCTGCTGACACTCACACACGGGAGCTCCAGGCACATGGCCAGCCCGTCCTTCCACCTGTACGTACATTCCAGACCGCTGCCCTTGAGGGGGCATCTCGTGTCCCTTCTGCACCAGGGCTCACCCAGGGGCTTTCCAGGAGGAGGGTGGGTTGTCTCAAACTCAGGTGCATTGCCAGGTACATGGCACTCCGCGTTTGGAACCCCTCAGGACAGGCAAGTGACTGTGGGTCATGGGGAGAGGTGAGCCGGAGGGGTGGGCAGATAACTGCCAACAGGCTGGGGAGGGGACAGGCTGCAGGATCAGGCTCCACCAGCTCCCTGAGGACTGGGAGGGCCTCTGGGTCCACAAGGGTCTGGCACCCTCAGCACCAGTCCAAGGGAAACATGAACGGACCGCCGGAGGTGGCTTTTTCTCTCTGCCCAGGTTCCTGCAGCAGAGCAGGCTGGGACCTGAGGAGGCAGAGGTGTGGCAGCCGGAGGCAGGCGGAGGGGCAGGGCGAGACGGGGAAGGAACTGGCCTTCCCCCTCCCTGCCCCACCCTCCTCGCCCTCACCCCCCTCACCCCGGCTCCCGCTCCAGGACTTGCTCCTCTCCTCTCCGCTTCCCAGAACACAACTCCCTGAGCGCTGGGCGTGGGGAAGGCTGCTCGCCTGGCTAATCTCTCTAACTGCAGCCTCCCGCCCTGCCCAGGGCTCTGAGTAGCAAGTGTTCGACCTTTGGTAGGCCAGGTACCGCTTCGGAGATCTGAAAGTCACCAAGTATCTCTGAATAATTCCCCAAGTGCACACCGGCTGGATTTTATTTTCCATTTCTGTGGCTCATGGACCTCAGCTAAGCACCCTCAGCACTGAGAACTCCCAGGGGATCTGGGGGCACTGAAAGGCACAGTGGCCCAGTATGCAACCAGAAGTCCCCAATTCAGGACACTGGAGAAGTTCAGACAGCAGCCCGCTCTGACGCCGAGAGGCTGAGGGAGACACCTGGGCCACAGTCCTGGCCTCCAAATCAACAGAGGCCCAGGGAGGGTGCCAGCAGCCCGCTCGGGCATCCTGGCAAAGCTGGTGACACCCAGCCTCCTTGTGTGTGCTTCCTGCAGGTGATGAGGACAGTGAAGCAAGCTACGGATGGCACAGGCATTCAAGCCTTTCACGCATGAGCTCATTTCATTGTTACAACAAATCAACACTGCCCCTGTCTACCAGATGAGGCAAACGAGACACACGACGAGATGGAGGAGGTGCCAGCCTAGGATTTAATTCCGGGAGCCCGTACTGTGAACCACTGGGCCACACTGCCTGCAGCTCTGCCTGGATGGAACATTGAGTGAGGTGAATCCAGGAAGCGCCTGGAGCAGAACTGGAACTGCCAGACACAGAGCTGTTCCCACGCACCAGCCCCCCCAGGATCCTGCAACCTCAGTGGGCATTCTCTGTTCCCCACCCAGAAGGACCCTCTTTATTCTCCACCTTCTCAAAGCTGCTCATTCATCAAGGCCCATTTCAATCTCGGCTTCCCCAGAAACCTCCCCTACCCAGGGCAAACCAGTAGTGTTTGGAGACTGTGCTGCTGGGGGGAGGGGGGTGCACGGGGTGTTAACTAGCCAGGTTAACACCCTGCATCCTGCCTCCCATGAGAACACAGCTTGCTTGCAAACAAAGACCACGTCTTTCCATCATCTTTGTACCCTCGAGGCCCTGGCTATACGGGCTCAGCGCATGTGTGTCCCGTGAGTGTCTATCTAAGGCACTCAGGATCCCCTCAAACATATTTTTAAAATTCCTCCCTTTTCAGAGACTCGTGAGTGCTCAAGCCAGCTCTACTGAGAACATATTTGATTTCTTTCTTTCTTTCTTTTTTAGCGTCTAAACAACATTTATTATTTACTTGGCTTCAATGGGTCTTAGTTGCAGCATGCAGGACCTAGTTTCCCGATCAGGGATCAAACCCAGGCACGCTCCCCGCTCTGGGAGCACAGGGTCTTAGCCACCGGACCACCAGGGAAGTCTCTTGATTTATTTCTGAGCCCACAAATAGGTCCCAAATGAATAATCCCACTCAATCCAGGTGAAAAATAAAAGCGTTGCTGGTTGGCTGTCCTTGAATTTTTTGATGCTGGGGATCCTTCAGTTTGATGCTTTCCCTAATTTCAGGGCACTGATGCTACATGGGAGTCAGAACTGGACCCTCATCAGAAGGGGACCAAGCAGCCACCCCGCCCCTGGGCCAGCCCCCTCCAGCCCAACCCCACACAACAGCAACAGAGTGACCCAGCTCGCCTTGGACCATCGCCAGGAGGAGAAGCTGGAAGAGGTCCAAGCTCTCCCAGGCCCGTCCTCCGGGGCCCTGCCCCTTCAGGCAAACACCGGAGACGGGGAGGCCGCCTCTACAAGAGCTGGTTCCGACTCACCTGTGAACACTACTCTGAAACCTTCCTCTTTTTTTTTAATTTGCCAAGGCAGGAGGGAGCAAGCATGGAGAAGACACATCCAGCCTGCCTCAGAGGCCCTCTGGCATCTGTGTAGGAGGGTCTCAAAGTCCCCCCAGGAAAAGGCCAGCTCACTGGGGGGACTCTGGTGGCCAGAATGATCAGCAGAAGGCAAAGTGTGAGGAGCCAAGGGCAAGAGCCAACTGGTGCCCCTGGGCCACACCGGGCTGCCGAACTCAGGGAAAGGGCGATGCCCACAACCATCTCAAGTATTTGGAACCCGTTGGGGAGAGAGATCGAGCACCAAACCCTCGCCTATGCCACCTGGAAGCCCCCTCCTCCCCCCACCATTACATCAATGCCCCCACACTCCTGAAAGGGAGCTGTGTTCAGGATGGGTGAGGGCCATGGTGTTTGCAACAGGGGGTGAAAGTTGAAATTCTAAGCCACTGACCCAGAAGGCCATTTTAGGGGAAGTTCTGAGTAATTCTCTTTGAGACGAGTTATTCTTTATTACTTGTTTTGTTTCTGAAAAAATGGAAAGCAGGAGAAGACTGGGAAAATGTCCCAAAGGCAGAGGGATGGCCCAAAAGACCTCTTCAGCTCCAACTAAATACCACGACTCTGTCCTCTTATCAAGAAAAATTAATTCATGAGTCCTTGGCAGAAAACTTCATGTCCAAGTAGATTAAGGGGAAGAACATGAGGAGAAATTTTGCAGGGTTAGCAGAAGAGATGCCGTTTATAACTTGACCACTGAGGAAGACAAAGGATCCGGCCTGGATCCTTTGGGGAAAATCACAAATTAAAAAAAGGAAGGGAAAAAAGAACTGATCTAGATTCCCCTTAACCAGACTTTCAAGGCTTGTGACCTCAGTTTACCCATCCTCAAAATGGAACTTCAGAGGACCCAAGGGGAAAATGCTTATAAAGGATCCTGAGTGCATGGTGGGAACTGGCCAGGCCCCTTCACCTGTCAAGCCTGCTAGTGCAGCTGGGATGCCAGCAAACCAAAAGGCATCCTGACACCCTAAAAGTGAACCCCAGTGGGCTTCAGGTGTAGCTGGATGGTCCCATTTGGGAATTTCTGGTGCTCCACTGGGTAGAGGAATAACAGGAACTCACCTGAAGAAAGGATGCTAAGACCTGGACCACCAGTCCCAGAAGCTGACCCCAAGGAAATCCTCTACACAGCCCCCTCCCACGCACACATAGGCACGAAGGGGGACCCAGAACGCCCGGACTCTCGGCCCCTGTCAAGTCAGCGATTCCGGAGAAGGTACAAGGGGGAAGGAGGGTGAACAGGAGGGACGGCCGGCCCAGGGCAGCGGCTCCCACAGTGGCCCCTCCGGACACCTGAGCGAGTAGTGGCCGACAGACGGGGGCAGGAGACCCTCGGCCAAGGTCAGAATCGGGGCCCAACAGTCTTGGGGGTCAGAGAGTTCGAGCACCCGGACTCCCCAGGGCACCAGTGGTCTCTTGCTAGAGCGCGGGCCGAGACCCTGGGGCGGCGACGTAGAAGCAGAGGAGGAAAGTGTGGCGGGGGTGCGCCCAGCGTCTGGTCAGCGACTCCGATTCGGGGTGCAGCTGCGTCAGCTGGCCGGTGGGACGCCCCACACCTCAAAGCTTGCCCCGGGACCCCGACCTCCCCCCGGCTCCGGGCGCGGCGCCCACCTGTGTAAGACTTCTTCATGGTGCCGTCGCGGCCGCCGCTCCCAGCAGAGTGTGGCGGGGAGGCCGCGGGGCTCGGGCTCCCAGGTCGCTAATCCCGGGCCGGGAGTGGGAGGGGTGAGGGCCGGGAGGAGGGGTCGGGCCCGGCCCGGCCCCGCCCCGGCCCGGCCCGCCCCGCGGAGGTGTGCGCCGAGCCCCGCCCCGCGCGCTCACACCTGGCGGAGCCCCGCGCGCCGCGCATCCCGACCCCGGGCCTGGAACGCCAGCCCCGCGCCGGGTCCTGAGTTCGCGCCGGTTCGGCCCTGGGGCGGCCCCTGCACTGCGGCCCCAATGCAAGCTGTCCGAGGGTGGGGGTCGCCAAGGTGGCGACCGTCCCCAGCAGCCACACCCCCCCGGGCACGAACGGTTCCTTCCGGGGCGTCGCCGGCACTTTTCCAGTCAGGAGTCTGGGCGAGGCGGGGCCTCGCCAGGTGGCTGCGGGAGGAGGGGCGCAGGGAGCGGCCTGGGGCCGGGTGGTGGTCCTTCCGCACAGCCCGGGGGGCATCGGAGTCCGCCGGCCGGGTAAGTGGACCGGGCAGGACCGAGCAGGCGAGGTCCCTACCGTATGTGCCCCGCTACTTTCCTGGTAATCCAGAGGGCAGACTGCCTTGACTGCTTGATGAACTGGGGCCTCAGTTACCTCATCTGTACAATGGGTACGTTGGACCAGGTGATAACTTCTGTTCCATCTGAGAAATATCGAACACCTTCCCGGCACCAGGTACTGTGAGCGGTCAGGGCCTCGATGTCGGAGCGCAAATAAGAGGGCACGTGTCTTTATATGCAGTGAGGAGAAATGTGAGTTCCTAAGCAAAAATTGTACAGAATTCTTTCTATTTTTGTATCCCTAAAGAAGTTTCCCATAAGAAAATGATTTTTTGTTTTAATACAGAGGGGAAAGTGATGAATTTTGTCTAGCGGGCGTTGTCAGAGTTTTACTGAGGTAATTCCAAAACAAGGTTTTAAAGAATGAGCAGGAATGTGCCAGGCGGCCGAGGTGTTCCTGGAAGAGGGAAGGGCGCGGCCTCCCAGAACCTGCGGAGACAGATACGCAAGGGCCCGCGCGCTGCGGGGATGAAAAAGGGAGCGGAGGAAGCGATTCCGGAAGCGCCCCCAAGCTCTCAATCCAAAGCCTGTACTGAAAACGGAGGTAGAATGAACATCACCAAAACACCCTCTTTCCTTTTCCCTCTCCTCAAAGGTCCAAAAACATTTCCATTGCCTGCTCGAAAGTAGAAAACCTGCCTAAGTAAGAATTGAGGCACACTTGTTTCCACCAGATTGTTCCACTTGCTCCCCTTCTTAAGAAATCTGCCCAGCCACAGGCCTGCAGGTCAGGCCACGAGACCCGTCCCACACCCTCTGGCTAGACTGTTTGGACCAGAGTGGACGCTGGACTCCACCTGGGTCAACCTCTGGCTCCTTATCTGGGGACCTGGGGAAGAGGCGAGGGAGGAGAGAAGCCACAGGCCTGGAAACTGGAGGTGAATTGTTAACATCTGTCCTTCGGTTCTGGGATAGCCACACACACTCTCCCAAGGGCCACTTGCACAGGCTTCTGCAAATTTCACTCCAGCCAAGGCAGAAGGCTGAGTTCCGTCCTGATTCTGGCCAGTAGACATGATGATTGCACCCCCGTACTGATGCCTGACCTTCCCACGGCCCAACTGCCTATCAAGAATCTGTCTAATGGGCACATTAGGGGTTGGTTGCTTCACTTAGCTCAAGTCAGAGGTGCTCTGGTGCACACGCATCCTCTGAGCAGATAGATCCTGGAGTCATGGAGGACCCTTGGGTGTCCTCTGAGTGCGGTTGGCCCCTTCATGCTAGCATTTCAGCCTGTGGGTTATAATTCACAAGTACCTGGGCACCTAGGGACGAAGACCCATGTGCTGTACTGACACCGTGTGTGTGTGTGTGTGTGTGTGTGTGTGTGTGTGTGTGTGTGTGTGTGCGCGCGTGTGCGCGCTCGTGCATGTGTGTGTCTGTGGGAGCACTCAGTCATGTCCTATTCTGTGTGACCCTATGGACTGTAGCCCATCAGACTCCTCTGTCCATTGGATTCTCCAGGCAAGAATACTGGCGTAGGTTGCCATTTCCTACTTCAGCAGATCTTCCCAACTCAGGAATCAAACCCACGTCTCTGCCATGTCCTGCATTGGCAGGCATATTCTTTACCACTGAGCCACAGATGGGGAGCTAGTGATACTGCACATACAAAAAAATGCCAAAAATCTGAAGGAAAGACAAGAGAAAGAAGGAGGAGGAATGAAAGCCTTTTCAGGATGCATGAAGGTTAATAGTTTAAGCATGAAATTTTAATTTTATGGACAACTCTCTTTAAAATGTATGATATAATCACTTGCCTTCATGACTTGTTTTTCAATCGCTAAGCCATGTCTGACTCTGTGACCCTATGGACTGCAGCATGCCAGGCTCCTCTGTCCTCCACTATCTCCCAGAGTTTGTTCAAATTCATGAGTAGAGTATATCAAATGTTAATCATTTTCTCCTGACTCAAGGTCATCATAAATGACACATTTAACTGTTACAAGCTCACATGTTGCTCCTTCAACATAAATGCTTTCAGATAGATTTTTTGAGGATCTTCAAAGGATGCCTTGCAGTAGGTATTGCACCTCTCAAGGGGAATCCACCCACTGCATCCTCATGTGAGGGTAGAGAGGGCTTAACTCAGGAAGCTTTGTGGTGCTGAATGAAAGAAGCCAATCTGAAAAGGCTGCAGAATGTATGATTCCAGCTATACAACATTCTGGAAGAGGCAAAACTGCAGAGACAGTAATTAGTAGCTGCCAAGAGATGGGGGGAATAAAGAGGTGGAACGTGGGGATTTATAGGGCTGTCGGACACTAGTGGTGGATACATGACAGGAAACATTGATCCAAACCCATAGGATGTACGACACCTGTGTAACCCTGATGTAAACTATGGACTTAACAATAATTAATTAATAAATTAATAATAATAATTGGGCTTCCCTGATAGCTCAGTTGGTAAAGAATCTGCTTGCAATGCAGGAGACCCCAGTTCGCTTCCTGGATCGGGAAGATCCCCTAGAGAAGGGAAAGGCTGCCCACTCTAGTATTCTGGCCTGGAGAATTCCATGGACTGTATAGTCCATGGGGTCGCAAAGAGTCAGGCACAACTGAATAATTGATAATCAAATCAATACTGGCTCATCAGCTGTAACACATGCACCACTGTAATGCAACGTGTATCATAAGAAGGGAGACACCAACGGGGTGGTGCATATGGGAACTCTCTGATTCATTACATTTTTCTGTAAACCTAAAACTGTTCTTTTTTTTTTTTTTGGCTGCACCGTGATGCACACAGAATTTTAGTTCCCCAATGAGGGGAACCTGCGCCCTGCAGTGAGTGATGAGTCCTAACCTTTGGACCACCAAGCAGTTTCCTAAACTGCTCTTTGAAAAAAAAAGTCTATTAAAAAAAAAAAATGTTTGTGGGTAAGGTTTTTATCTCATGGAGTGGGTTTTAAATTAACATGTAAGCTTTTAAGGAATTAGGTTCTTGGACTCAGAGGGATGAAAGCAGGACAAAATGAAAAAGAGGCTTTTGGACTCAGTCTTTTAGAGGAAGGACGCTGGCTGAGAAAGTTATTTCGTTGCAAACTCGGTTTTCCAAAGAAAAAGGAAGTATGACTCAGAGGACTGAGCCAAGGCTGGGAGAACAACCCCCCAGGGCTAAGTCCTTGAAGAACCCTTGTGAGGACCCATCTGCACAGATTTACAGGGTTAGAGCCTGCACCCGGAGTCTGAGCCTACACCACGACAGCTGAGACTTTCAGGATCTTAGGGTCGGGTGAGGATATTTTCCATGTGGGAAGGATGTGAGTTGTGGCCGTGGGCTGGCTGTGTCAGACTGTGTTTTCCCAAAACCGTCACAACAGCATCTCCCAACCCTTCCTGCTCCCTCACCTGTGAGCTTGGCATTGTGTCCCCCTGTGTCCCCTTCCTTTGCAGCTGGGAAGGCTTGTTGTTTGATTCTAACCCTTGACCTTGGAGCCCTGAGCCACTCAGTAAGGATCTGTTCACCGAGAGACCTCTGTATGCAAGGAAGCCCAGAGCACTGGGAGTGTATGAGTTACCTATTGCCACATAACAAGTAAGCACAAACTTAGTGGCGTAAAATGACACATGTTCATCATGGCACAGTCTCTGTGGTCAGGAACCCGGCCACCACTTAGCTGGGTTATCAGCTTTACAACATCTCCCAGACTGCAGCTGAGGTTATTGGCAGAGGCTGAGTCTCATTTGAAGGCTCAGCTGGGGATGTGTCCACGTCCAAGCTCACATGGTTATGGGCGGACTCAGCTCCTCAAAGCCTCTTAGATGGAAAACCTCAGATTTTAGCTGACTAGATCCGAGTTTCTTGCCACAGGGGACTCCCAACTTAGCAACCTGTCCATCAAAGCCAGTAAGAAAGATGGGTCGCTCAGTTGTGGCCGACTCTTTGCAACCCCATGGACTACAGCACACCAGGGTTCCCTGTCCTTTACCATCTCCCGGGGTTTGTTCAAACTCATGTCCATGGAATCAGTGATGCCATCCAACCGTCTTATCCTCTGCCGCCCCCTTCTCCTTCTGCTCTCCTCATGCCCTCAATCTTTCCCAGCATCGGGGTCTCTTCCAAGGAGTCGCCTCTTCGCAAGAAGGATAGTCGGCGGGAAAAATGGGCATTACAATCTCGTGATCTGTTCATGGAAGCAGCCGCCTGTGAATACCAGGAGGTAGAGTTCACTGGAGCCATCTCAGAAGCCATCTGCCACGGGGCGGTCACAGCAGCCACTCCGGCGGGCAGTCCTGGACTTTAAGTCTTCCCAGCCCAGGTGCAGAAACGTGAGCACAGAGCCTTCCTGGGGTCCCCTTACTGTAGCTTTTCCCATCTTCCTGCCCCAACCACAACCTCTGCTGTCTGCCTCCATTTCTGAGCTCTGCGGCT